CGCAAGATCCGCGCGCTCATTGCACTATGACGTAAGATTTACGTCACTCAACTGATAAGGGTTAGTCTTGCACATTTTTTGACTGGTTAGGGTTAGTCTTGCACCCACCTGAGAGATTAGGGTTAGTCCTTGCACAAGTTTTCAACTGATTAGGGTTAGTCTCGCATCCATCCGAGAGATTAGGGTTAGTCCTCGCAAATGGGATAGTCTAGCATCCGCCCGGGAGATTTGGGTTAGTCCTCGCATACCATCCGAGGGATTAGGGTTAGTTTCTTGTTTGTTTGTTTTTTTTTAAGATAAATTAAGAAATTCAGTTGCATATCTGTATTTTTTTGCAAGATCTAAATTCAGCTTTCACGACATCTCTTTGGTTTGTTTACATGAAAAAATGGCTAAGTACGAAAGAAACGGCACTAAGCATGCGCCGCACGCGCTTCGTTGACAATTATTTTTCGTCTCCTTTTCACTGAATAAACAATATTAATCACTTTTTTTCAGAAAACTTGGTTAAAAACTTCGTTTTTAAACGAAGTTTTAAACTAAACTTTTAACCGTAGAATTCGATTTTGGGGTCAAAAAGGCTAAAAACCTCATACTTTTAATTTTTTTCGATCGCTCACGCGATCTCATATATACTGAAGTCGACTGCGGAGACACTATATTTTAGCGCGTTTTTCTGGGGACCGGTAAAGTAAAGTCGTTCCAAAAAGACATCTGAAAAATAAGTGTTACACCCTTATTGCCCTAAAAGATAATTTATATTTCCTCTACATGTTCTGTAAAGAAATACATTGGGTGGGTGGAACTTTTTCCATCAAGGGTTTTATTGCATCTTATTGGTAGGCTAAAAAAAATCTTACAATAAATATTTTTTTTATAACAGTATGTTTTATACCTCACCTTAATTTTGATATAATGTGCCAGTGTTGATTCACACCTGGGCTGGGGTGCTGACCAAGACAGTTGACTGCGTCAATTTTCTTACTTATTTGGTAAACTAAGTTTACATTATGTTATACACTAAAATGAAAGAAACACCCGTTAGTTTACATGCAACACAGTCTGAAATATAAAGTAAATAAATAACTGTTGATGTTATGTATATATTCCTCACCGTTTTTCCTAGCCTTACTCCAGACACTGTCTTGCAGACGTCAGACTTCTTACCAGTGACGTCACCCGTTAACGTAAATAATAATCGGAGGTGAAAATTCCGGAACGTACCTTTTGTTATACGGACGCTACCAACTGTATAATTATGTAATATCTATTTAGGTGAATTCCATTTGAGTTCTGTTGTGAAATTATCGTGATTTTCTTTTTTTTCAAATTCAGTTTTTGCTCCTGAATTCGGAATGATTATATCTACCGATGATCGAGTTCAATTTTATGTGCCTCGACCGATATCCGATATACACATTACGAGATTGCTGAACTTGTATGTACTATGTAGACTGTGTTTTACTGCTCTAAGAGTAAATTATACACAAATGCGAACTGATTACTCCATGTCAGACATGCAAGTGGACGTAAGGTAAACAATGTGAAATAAATTGGAACATTAAAGACGCAAAACACGCACAACAAGTCAACAATGCACACACCTGTGAGCTTTCAGAGGTGATTGGGTTTTAATCATCATTATCATAGATCATGATATGATATTATTTTTTTGAAAAAAAAAATAGTTAAATCTTTAAAATATATTACAGTATAATGATTATGATCTAGGGTCCTGTTTTAAGAGGGATTTTATACTTGGACCAAGTTGGTCGCAATATGCAATACTCTGTTTCATGAATTACAGGTTATTGATCAGGTCCGGCACAATCTCTTGATTAAGCTATATAGTTTGATTTAGCTATATAGCTTTATTAAGCTATTCAGAATAGCTTGATTTAGCTATTTTATCACACTTTTTTCTCAAATTGTTATTTTCCAAGTATGTACAAAAAGTCGCAACTTGGTGCAGTGATGATATTCAACCTTGAACTCTAATGAAAATAATGCATGTAAAAATCACTCATCAAATTTGTGGCTCCTTAAGAGACTTTGTACTCAAAGTTCTAAAAGTTTTGGGGGCTATATAAAGCAATTGATACAGTTACCTCTTCAATGAAATTATAAAGGAGGCCAATTATGGTCAACAAGATAATTGATTGGTAATAATTCAGTACAATGAGAAGCAATCATACTTATCCATGCCTCAACTCACACAAGGTAGTGTACAGTTACCCAAACAATGGAAATACATCTTTTGCTTAAAAGTATTCAAATGCTGCAATGTTAGAACTATCTTTGATTTGGGTTGTTGATTTGATAACCCATATTACATGTACATATATGAATAGTCAAATACTTGCGACTTTTTGTCTATAATTTGTACAAATAACATTTTTGTGAAAACCTGCATATGAATAGCTTTATCAAGCTATTTTGAATAGCTTAATAAAGCTAGCTATTTTAAGCTTTATGTTGATTGTTAAAGATTATCTTGATTAGTTCTCCAAATTCACTCTGAACTATTAAGTTAAAAAAAAGTATTTGGTCTGAGGTGTACTTTAATTTGTACAAAAAGTTCCTGTTACAGTATTTGAAAATGTCACCAATTTAAGAATATTATATAGTCCCAGCAACAATCAAAACTTTTAGGGATTTTTTTCACTTATTGACAAAAATTAAATAATAATTTTACTAATTAATTAAACGAAATTGAAATAAAAAAAATAAAAAGGATTGAATTTAATTATAGTTGACCTACATTTATCATACATGTATGTAAAAGTACCATTAATATAGAAAATATACAGCCTTCTCAAACACAGCCAGCTTTTCACACACATGTAAAACAATTTTTATTAACCTACATGTAACATAGCTGATAACACTCATACTTGTCATTAACGTACATGTAATGTGTGGCTTTTAATACATGTAAACCATGCATATATTAATGTATGTGTAACGTGTGGTTGATAATAAATGTAAACCTTGTGTGTGAAATATGTGTAATGTGTGGTTTATAATACACATGTAAACCGTGCGTTTATTAACGTATGTGTAACGTATGGTTGACAATACATATGTAAACCACATGTTCATCAACGTATGTGAAACGTGTGGTTGACAATACACATGTAAACCATGCGTTTATAAACGTACGTGTAACGTGTGGTAGCACATATCATATGTAACACGTACGTGAAACGTACGTAACACGTACGTGTATTCCAACCGCACGTTTCACGTACGTTATGTGAAACGTATGTTTTCACACGCATGTTTTCCATACGTTATACCACGTACGTGAAACGTGCGGTTGGAATACACATATGTGTTACGTATGTTTCACATACGTGTAACATATGGTATGTGCTACCATACGTTACACGTACGTGGCACAATTAGCTGTGTATCTATCTATCTATCTATCTATCTATCTATCATTGAAAGATTCGAGCGCCATCTACCGTCAATTCAGATGTCTGGGGTTTTTTTGCACGCCATCTAGCGACAATATAAGTTATTGATTGCATCGGTGATCGTTTTTTTTGCAACGGAGTCTGTTGATTTTGTTTTTAGCTAGTCCGTTTTGTATTTTAAATATATTTTTGAAAATTAATTGTTCGTTGTTCACTAATTGCCTTTTACCATTTCCGCCGCACATTAAAAAATTGACACCTGGAAAATTAATCACTTACTGGAACGACACCAACAACTAACCGTTCAATTTACGTTCTAACACAAGAAAATCCTGTTTTAATTGATTGATTACAATAATTTCAGGGTTCTCCACAAGGGGTTTTACCATGGTTAAATTTATGTGCGCCATGGTTAAACAAGCTGCGCCATGGTTAAAATCGGCGGCCGCCATGATTAAATTTTTATTTAATTTCAGTATTGATACCTACTTTTTAATGACGAGTAGTTAATTGTGTTTATACTACGACTGAGATGCACCTCGCACGCCTCGAGGGGAAGCGTCCGACTGGGCTAAACAAACACGGTCGTTGATCGGCGACTTTGCTGTGAAGAGTGACAATGGAGAGCCAATAAGCTGATGATCAATATCTTGAGAGTTAATTATCCTATACACATGTAATTTCGGGAAATTCCAACGTGTTCACTATACGATAACAGATTTACAAAAGATGACATAACGAGCAGTAACAACATGATAATCGACACGCATCCGATTCAAGTTTCTGTGCCCAGAAAAAATTAACCCTTTCAAAATTTCCTATTCTTTGTATTTAAACAATTCCTCATGCTTAGTTGTCAAGTTTTAACTTGATTATCTTTCTGATGAAATGTACATAAGAGCCAATCGTCGTCTTAGTTTTAGAGTTACCTCCCGTTTAAGGAAACGTCGCATGGTGCTATGTTTAGCACTGGGGCACGTGGAGAAGTAAACAATGGAGGAAACTCGGCAAAAAATGCAATACGTAAAAAAAAAAAAAAAATAGAACGATCAGAAAAAAAAAAACAGAATAGAGAAGGCAGAATTACAGTTATGTCAAATATATGCCCCTGGTTATATAAATTTACTTTTACCATGCATGCCATCAGTAAGTTTTCATGCAGTTAAAAAGCTTGGACATAGGCAGGATGTCGGTGTTCGTTCGTCTGTTTGTTTGTGTGTCTGTAACTATTTTTTTTTTCAAAATACTTCCCATTTATCAGTTTTAGTAATATTTAAATAAAACGTTTCATACAACATCAACTGTGTATATCAGTTTTTAGCCGGGCTCATTGCTCGTAGAGCAATAGCCGGCTTATGTTACGGTGTTCAACCGGAAATGCTGCTTCCTCACCGCCAAATCAATTAAGAGTAAGAATATAGTACATATGCTCAATCACCTTTGAGGCAATACAAACACTAAATTAAACAAATTTAAGTTAACTAAGAAATTCTCTAAACCAAAATCATTAATGGTAATATATACTTTCTCCCTTCTTCTTCAATTAATTATTTGTTTAAAATATGCGAAAGGTTTTCATCAGGTCTCCCTGTCTGCGTCATATTCTATAAATAAAGGTTATGTTACCAGGCTAACACTAATGTGGAGAGCACGTGACCCGATGTGCACCTTGATGAACAAAACTCCCCGCTGAGGACTCGTTTGACCTTGCTGTATCAATGTTTATTTACTTCTGTAAATGGTATAAGACCCCGAAACGATTCATGTGATAAATTCCTTACGCTGTTAAATTCAAACTACATTTTATTTAATTTTTTAAACATTTTTATTTATACTATATGCCATAAATATATTTTTTGTGTTACACATTCTTCCAGTGTCTTGTTGTTATTCATCTGTTATTATATATTGTACAATGTATGTTTCATATAAAACGGTCTTTGTTCACTTCTCTGTAAAAGAGCCCGGCTCTCTGTACTTCTGAGTACTTTGATTGAATAATGTTGCCATGGTTACTCTATCACTGAAATATTTTTTTTTAATTCCTTCAGAATGTTCCTATAGTTTTGGGACAATTTTGATACACATTTGTAAAGTTAGATACATAATCTTTTTTTTTCAGCTTTAAAAATTATTGGCTATTTCAACTTTTTGTGTTGCAGTGGTTATAAGTTTTCTGAAACCAATCATTGATTAATGAAGGCTCGGAAGTCTAACAAACATTCGTGTTTTCGGTCACATTTCGCCTTCGCGCAGCTTCCTCAATGGTTAAATTTTCAAATGTGGAGAACCCTGCCATTTATCATATATAATCAGTGTTTATGTGAAAAGAAATTCAATAATGACTTTAGAAATATCGTACCTTGTACTGTAATTTCAGATACAGTAATGTTTGTAATTGTAGTTGTGATGTTCTCTATTGTTTTGTTTTTAGTATCTTCTTCAAGTAGACTGGAAGCCAGCACATCCACCCGAAATATTATGGTATAACTGAAATGTACATCGATTATTTAATACATTTATTTAAAGCAATATTGCAACTATGAAAAAATGAACTTTAGTTTTCTCTCGCTGGGATGCCTAATTTGTTTTTAAAGTTTAAAGCAGAAATAAAATAGGATACCTGGTGTCATTGCCACAACTGAAAGTAAATGATATAAAAAATACACATATATATCAAATTTGACATTAAAAAGCATCGAAAGTGGCTTTTAAAAGAAGACTAAATAATGTACCCCACCCAAAAATGATTCAAAATATATGTATCAGAAATAAAAAGGACTCATTATTCTTTTATTGTAAAATTAGAAATATCTAACCTGTCAGCTGATTCAGTTGTTACTGATTTACAGGTATCAAGTTTCAGAAGCTCGAGAATCAGCTGAATAAAAATAAAAAAAAAAATAAATAAATGAAATAATACAGTATTGCAGCAGAAATCACATTAGAAACTCTTCAAAATTCATTGCACCAGCTTGTACGAAGTGATTTTTGTTATTTATAGTTTAAATCAAGAGTACAAGATCATAAATTTATATATCACAGGTGCTTGTGGACAATTTCCCTCCCCATCCCCAAAAATGTACAGCCCAGGTCCAAGGATATTTTCATTTGCTTTTCATAAATTATAAATGTATGCTTGAAGAATATTTTATGAAAGTAGAAAAACAAAAAAATGTCCTTGGATCTGGGGTGTATATTTTCAGAGGAGTGGATGGATCCTGTCCTAAGCACCTATAATGGGCAATACTGAATGTATGGAAATTTAATTTGAAGCAGGTTACTAACAAGATTTGAATTCTTACATCTACAAGGGCAATATTTTCTTTCAAACAATCTTTGAATGTCACATTGATTGACACTGGTATTACAGCATTACCTAAAATAAGACTTAAATTATACAAAATAATCAATCCTTGATTATATTGCCAGTAACAACATAAAAGTAAATCAAATACTTACATGACAAAGTATTATGACCCAAAATGTGTTGCTAGTTTAGACATAATGCATGCAAATGTATATACTGTATGTATTTTAATACTGTTATCACTGGAAATGCTTTTTCATGCTTGATAGGGTTTTTGTTGAATATTAAATCAGATATTAATTAGATATTCTCAACTAGTGTTCAATTTGCAAAAGATATTGTCTAGTACACAAGAAAAATAATAGAAATACATCTGAAAAAAATATTCACAATGTAAATTTTAACATTAAGAATTAGCCTTTTTTTGATTTAAGGCTTATACCTGTAGGCAAAATTATTTCATCTTTAATATCATACACTGGTGTTGTTTGATATGATGTTGTTTGAGTTGTTATTGTTTGCCGCAATACAGTTGATGATGTTGAGGTTGGTTCCTCAGTTGTGGTTCTTTCGAGTGTTGTTACCTCTGTTGTTGCCTCTTCCGTTGTTAGTCCTTCTGTTGTCATGTTTGTTGTCATCCTTTCTGTTGTAGGTAACATACTAGTAGTTGATGCAGTATTATTTGGTGGAGGAGCGGACGAAGAAGATGTCCCTGACGATTCAGTGACTGTTGTTGATGCATCATCTGAGGTTGATGCTCCTTCTGTTGAAGACGACGATGTCCCCGATGTTTCTGATGTTTCTGAGACTATTGTTGTACTACTTGCTTGATGTGAAACAGATGACGGATTCGTAGTTGAATCAGGTGATGCGGATGATGTAATAGTAGTCACCTCAGATGATGTCACAGAAGATGTAGTTAAATTGTCATTTTCTGTCGAGGAATCGGATGATATTGTTGTGTTTACTTCCCCTGTTGTTATCACTGTGTCAGATGACATTGTTAATTGAGTAGTTGATGTTTCTGACGTCGCCCTTCCCGTTGTCCCTGTTTCCGATGTCTCCGATGTTAATCCCTCACTGATTGAGGTTGAATTTGGTAAAGAGACAGAAATGCCAGTGGTATCTAGGTCTGTCGGAGTGATTGTTGACGAGGAATACGTATTCCCCAGAATAATCACAAACGTAACGATAAATATGGGCCTCATCTGTAAAATGTAATGAAACACTCGTAGGCAACATTTATTCTTGATAAACAGAGAAATTTGTATTTTTCCCTATCTTCCCCTTCCAGTTTTTAATTCTGGATAAGTTTTAAATAAATCATAATATTTTTGAAAAATTTAATACAAATTATTTAAATTTATTGTTGGAATATTTCTACCAAATTTGGATAACATATGACGTTAAATAAAAAAGATATGACAGACGTCCACGAACTTTCCGAACAACCCTTGTATACTTACTTTGTTTTAACTCAGAACTTGTGCCTTAATAGATGAAAGTACAGGTAATTATTAATTATGAATTACTTAGACACACGTGTTTAAAAATAAAGGCAGTCGTAAATTAAAGTCAATTATAAGTACTAATAACCTTCTCGTTCGATCAGCTTGAACTATCGATTATCTAGGTATCAGATTGTTTACATAGAGAAGTACAATAAATGGATGATAAACTTTACATAAGGTGAATTTAACAATCCAGTGCAATGTTTCATCCGAAATTCAAATAGTTGACAAAATTTTGATCAAATGAACAAGTCCATCTCTTGTTTTAATCGTTACGTACGTGCGTTTAGTGATAGGTGCAACAAAGAAGATGTAAAAATACCCTGCATGTAGAAGATGATGCGTCTCTTGTACAGTTTATTCAAAGATTTATGAGCATGTGTTAAAGTTTCACATATGATAATAATGACCAAGGTAATTGATACTGTTAATTCAATTTTTGGAACAACTGGTAATAATCATAAAAGGATTATTTTTGCACTAAAAGTAAGATGAGGATTACATGTTTTACAAAAGACACAAGATAAATCAATTCCTCAGATACCTTAGTAACATAAGGAAACATTACTATTTCTTTTCCTGTTTGATTATGGATAGTCAATTAAATATTGATTCCCGTCAGCCAGCCTTCCTTGTCCAAAGTGTGTAAGAATAAATTCTACGTTTCATAGAAAATCAAATACAGCAATGAATTCAATAAATAACTTACTTTGTAACTGTGTGAAAATGCCTCTAATATTCGTTGCACTATTTGTTTTACCCAAACAAGGACGTTTATTGCGATACACGCTCTCCCGATAGCCTTTCACTCCCGGCAGATTTATTATCCGTTTTCGGGCGTGTCTGCTTTCATGCCGCGCTGAAGAGAGCAATTGTCAACACAGAATTAGGGTTGTAAACTACAGAACAAGCGAATCAAATCTTAATATTTAATTTTTCGGATTTCCTCAATTTTTTTCCTCCTTATTTTACACATTAGAAATTCGCTTTTTGTGCTAAGTTAGTAAATACCTTAAAATAGAAATTGCATAAGATATTGATAAAGTTGGTATTTAATACTGCGTTGATCTGGGTGTGAGAGGAGGGCATGCCGGGACCCTGATAACATTCACGATCTATGAATGATTCACATTGTCACCATGCGTACTTGTAAGGGGTACTAAACCTCCTGTCGACATCAAAGTCACTTAGACTTAACCAATGTGTGTTTTGTACCAGTCAATAACTTCCTCGTAAAATACTCTCTCTGCATATGATTAAATTTTAAAACATTCAAATGAAACAAATGCATTTATTTTTCTTTCGATTCGGGGTTAATAGTATACGAGTATGAATATATTTACGCCACGTGTGCATTGTACCTGTCAGGTAGATCTCATTTGATATACACACCCAAATTTTTATCCTGCATGCTCGACATCTCTTTATATCTATATCGATTCCCATTTAAAAAGCAATCCGCTAAGACACCTTTGGACTCTTAACGATATCCTTGGCAATTTTTAGTTAAATTGTTCTATCGTCTTCATTTCAATAAACCACTCCACCCTTCATGTGTGACTATATTTTTGTAAATCTATATCTATCACTCGATCTAAAAAGCTTCATTTTCAAATTTTAAAAGCAATAAATTAAGCTTGAAAATTCATGGAGATAAAATTAACTAATTAGTCTTAATAAGTTGTTCGCGCAATTGTACACGTTTTAACATAACATTTAATAACCATTTTAATAGATTTTTATTACATCAATTATTATAAATGTATTTAATATTGATAAAAAAAAAAAAAAAAAAAAAAAAAAAAAAAAAAAAAAGAAGAAGAAGAAACACTTTTGCACTTTACCAATCAATATTGATTTTTTTTTTAAAATCAGTTGTAAAATATTTAAATCATTTTATGAATTTCTGCAAAGAATTTCAACTTTTGTGAGTAATCACTGTTATGCACCTTAAGTATGAAAATCTATGAGGAATACAGGGTAGTCTAAACCATGACGTAAATATTTGAAAAAATATGTGTATTTCTTACCTGCAATCAATATTTAAGGTCTTGTGAAATTGAAATATCGGAATATGCAGAGCTTCACGGGAAATACAGGTGAATTTTTCAGAAACTAAGGTGTGGTACAGTTCTGCTTCTTTTTAGGGGCTTTCCAATGAATTATCTAAAACCCGACAACAATATTGGGTGTGTTTATTACTTTAAATATCTGCATACGGAAGAGGATTTTATCTGAACTTAAATTTATGCTACTGTAAAATTTAGTAACTATGTTCAAGTCATGAAATCGTATGACAATCGTATGACAATATGGACTCTTAAACGCATTCCTTGGTATCTTGTGAATATGTCTAATCAACTCCTCTGAATACATGTAAATATTATGATATTATATGTACAACTTTTTAGTTTAAAGTCACTGAATGTTAGCAAATAATATCGAGGAAGTTGATTATATACAGAAATTAAAAATATAGAATTTGATGATAAGAACACTTTATCAATTTTGATCAGTGCTCATAGAAATTATTTAATTAATCATTTTTGCACTAAAGAATTATTCTCAATATCACAATATATTATTGAACTTATCTTGTATATACCTAATTATAGAAATAAATTAGCATGGATATTCTACGTAATGTTTCCTACCTTGAAACATGTTGATTAGGCCAGAAAAAGCGTGCGTTTGAGTACATGTAAGTTTGAACCTCGGTTAACCTTTTCTCAGTCTCAATTTTTTTAAGAAGCGCTCTTACAACTAGTAGAGATAACCAGATAGCATCTATATGGTTAGCTAAACAGTCGATGCTATATTTGTGAAGTGAAATAAACGATTTTTAACACCCTGGTTCACAAATACTTTATTTTTCAACAACAACGAAAAGAACTTACAGCTCTCTCTCTCTCTCTCTCTTAAGAAGGGGTGGGTGGGTGGGTGGGTGGATGGGGCTAAAACAGACTAACACTGACAAAACAAAACCCAGATACACTTCTACGGTTCTAGAATCTAGATAACACCTACTTAGAAAATTAAACCACTGTGCACACATCATCAATTTTTCAGCATTCATCGAGGTAAATGCCTCAGACAACCTAAAATTTTCGAAAATCCCTTCCTATTTCCTGCTTGAACATGTACATATTAGTTATGACATGCGCGGATCGAGGTGGGATGGGGGATCCCCTGGAATTTTCAGTTATTAAATTTCTATATAAAGTAACCAAAAGTCCCCCCCCCCCCCCCAAAAAAAAAAAACAAAAAAAAACATGGATCATTTGTATTTTGGTATAGAGAGGCATGTATCTGAAGAAAATTGACTGAGGAACTTCCGTTTACATATAGTACATGTGAGTTTTCAGCAGTAGTTATATTAATTGTGGATCCACAGTAATTATTGAACGGTGCCAAATAGTGAGACTTCCCCCATAGTGAGACTCTTACCTCTGGGAATATGCCTGGCTATATAGTGAGATTTCCCTCTGTCGTCTGGGGGGAAGAATGACTATATAGTGAGCACCCCCCCCCCCCCCGAACGACCATAGTGAGGCCCCCCTTCCGTGTTCGGTTTGGTTTTTACATGTATTTACATAGACGTATTTCTGCATTAGGAACCGTTTTGTATAAATTATTTACAGTATTCTTTTTTTTTAACCTCTGGGAGTCCGACAAGTATGAGATTAATGTCATGAAGGAATCAGTTTCATAGTGTTTCAGTACTATTATCCTTCAAAATTTGACTATATTGTGTAAATTAATCAAGCGCTTAATATAAATGGCAATGTTTCAGGTACGAAATATGCTAAATACAGGCATATGTAAGTAAAAAAAAAAAAAAAAAAAAAAAAGGAAAAAAGAAAGAAAAATCGCACGAATCACTACAGAACTTCAAATAAACATTCTGATAATTCTTTAATTTTCTACAACCTCTTCAAATATTTGAAGTTTTTAATTCATTATATATATAAGATGTACGCTTCAGTCAAGTATATATTTGACCTTGACCCTTGCACAAGAAAATTGGTTGACCTGCACCATGCAGGTAAACCTATGTTTACCTGCATGGAGGATGCAATAATACAATTTAGTTAAGATGTAAGTTGTAACAAAAATGTACGTATACGTACATTTTTTTTTCAATTAACTCACTTATAAATACTTGTAATCCCAAAATTATTTATGTCTAACAAACTGTTAAAACGCTATTAAGATGTTTGAATTATTAATTCATATGAGGAGAACTTTTATTCGAACACTGAAAACGTTAGTTAAAAGAACAACATTGTTTTACAATGAAAAAAATATTCCGGAAACTATATTTGAGGGGTAAGTCTCTATGACAGGGGTGGGTAGTGGGGACTGGCTATATTGTAAGACTCCCCCATCCCCCCCCCCCCCCGAAGAATGGCTTTATAGTGATACTTCCACAGGAGAAGTTTCACTATATAGCCAGTCTTCCGGGGAGAAGTCTCACTATATAACCGGTC